CTGCAAAAGCTAGTTTAAAAGACAACTAGAGGGGCTGGCCTGGTGGTGCAGCAGTTAAGTGTGCACGTTCCGCTTTGGCAGCCCAGGGTTTACTGGTTTGGATCCCCGGTGCGGACATGGCACCGCTTGGCACGCCATGCTGTGGCAGGTGTCCCACATATAAAGCATCTATAAAGAAGATGGGCACGGATGTTTACTCAGGGCCAGTCTTCCTCAGCAAAAAGAGGAGGATTGGCAGCAGATGTTAGCTCAGGGCTAATCTTCCTCAAAAAAAAAAAAGGAGAACTGGAAACTCTTAAGCAAAATACTCCCATGTCTTACGTACATAAAAGAGGCGTGTGTTTGGTATATACGGGAAGTTATATCTATTGCAATTAATGAAATTGTGTCAGCAATTAAATATGGTTGACTTTTTCAAGTAAAAATTATAGTTATTTCTTATTCTTTTACAGAATTTTTCAGGCTGACAGTCCCTAAAAAATGAATAAAGCTATATTTATTTAGTTCTTTTGATTACCAATGTTGTTTTTAAACCCATGTCTCTTGTGATCACAAAGTAAAAAGGTAGCTGTTTGGAAAAGATCCTTTTTACTTTTTAAAGGTAATTTTTCTCCAGAAACACAGTTTATGTGACTTTTCTCTGGCTATTTTGTAATTAAACTGTGGTTCTACTGGACAGAAGTTTTGCTTGAGAGGAAAACCTGGACTACTCCAAAACATTTCAGTGTGTCTCCTCTGTTGCAGTTTGTGAGAGATGAGGCTTCCGAGAGCCCCAGTTCTGCTGTCTTCTCTTTGGCATTTCTTAGAGGTCCAGAGCTTGCCTTTTGCCTAATGGAGCAATAGGGATAAGAAAAGGGATGGGCATCCTCACAGCCCTTTCTGTGTGCCAGACACTGCTCTGGGTGCTCCATTTAGTACCTCGTTGGATCTTCACAACTTTATCAGGATAGATCTGATTATCTCCATTTTACTCATGTGCAAACCAAAGCTTGAAGAGGTTAACCAAGTGCCCGGGATCTGTTGACCAGTAGAGATTCACATTCTGGGTACTGACTGTAGAGGGAGCGAGAGAGAAAAAGGCATGTAGTTGGATAGAACTTATATCATTCATGCCGAAATATGATTCACAAAAGATACCCCTAAGTCTAACTCTCAAAGGGAGAGGATAAGTCATAGTCACAGTAAAGCATTGAATCCAAACTTCATAATTTTCAGGTGCTACAATTAACTAATCATTTGATCTCAGATAATAAAACATCTGTGTGTTATATCAGTGAAAGAAATGGGAATCATAAAGCCTTCCATCCTTATAGTCGTTCCAGTCAGAGATCCATATGTTAGCAGTTTCATTTTTGGATAAGCTCCCTTTAAACTCCTGGTCAAGGAGAGTTTAGAGACTAGCTATAGATACTTTGTGCTTTCCAAAGGTTGACAGACTTAGATTTGCATCCTGGCTCTGCTGAACTCCTCCAGGGACAGACAGCCCTTTCTGTTATTGGACACTAATTGTTACAAGTTTCTTCTGTATGTAGAGAAGTCTTCCACTTTCTCACTTCTATCTAGGTCCTAGTTCTGCCCTTTAGAATAAGCAGTCTTGGGGCCGGCCCCGTGGCTGAGTGGTTAAGTTCGTGCACTCTGCTTTGGCTGCCCAGGGTTTCACAGGTTTGGATCCTGGCGTGGACATGGCACTGCTCATCAGGCCATGCTGAGGTGGCATCCCACATGCCACAACTAGAAGGACCCACAACTAGAAATATATACAACTATGTACCAGGTGGCTTTGGAGAGAAGAAGGAAAAATAAAATCTTTAAAAAAAGAAATATATATATACACAACTATATAGTGGGGGGCTTTGGGGAGAAAAAGGAAAAATAAAGTCTTTAAAGTAAGCAATCTTTGTTTTTCAAAATAATTCAGTACTGAGTTCCTTTTGTTTTTGTTTTTTTTTTTTAAAGATTTTATTTTTTCCTTTTTCTCCCCAAAGCCCCCCCCCCCCCCCCCG